GGCATTGTGGCAGGTGCCTGTGGTCCCAGCTACTTGCGAGGCGGAGGCAAGAGACTCACTTGAGCCCAGGAGTTGGAGGTCGCTGTGAGCTGTGATGCCACAGCACTCTACCTAGGGGAATAGCTTGAGGCTCTGTCTCAAAAACAAACAAACAAAAAAAAAAAAAGGCATTACATTCAGAGCACTTGGAACCCTCACATGTTGCCGGTAACAATGTAAAATGGTACAGCCCATGTGGAAAATAGCATGGCAATTCCTTAGAGACTTCCAAACAGTTACCAGACAACCTAGCAGTTCCACTCCTGGGTGTCCAGGGGTTTCAAACATGTTCACACAACACTCACATGTGCACGTTCACAGCAGCCCAAAAGTGGGAACAGCTGTCTCAACCAACCAAACAACAACAACAAATGCCTACCAGATAAAGAGCAGCTAAATAACACAAGGGACATTCACACAACGGCACGTCCACCTACACTCACACATGCCTCAACACAGATATGCCCAGGAAACATGACTTTAACATAAAGATGCTAGTCATAGAAAACTACATGTTACATGAATATACCCATGTGAGACATCAGAACAGAAATCCAAAAACAGAAAGCAGATCCAAGGTTGTCGGGAGGTGAGGGTGATGGAGGGTGCTGACAGCCATGCTGGCTCTTATTAAGTGGAAATCAGCTCTGTAGTTAGAGAATGGTGATGGCTGTGACACCCTGTGAATGACTAAAAACCACTGAAATGTACACTTTAAACAGGCAAAGTTCATAGCATGTAACTTACATTTCAATCAAGTTATTAAAAAAGAAAATTAGTTTGTTTTGTAGTTACTTTAGAAGTATAGTATCTATAGACTGTTGGGTTACAGGAGACAATGCCATGTCAATAGTATCTAACATCTGGGTATAGGAGACAATCCCATGTCAACAGCATCTACAGTCTAGTCATTGGAGACAATGACATGTCAATAGTATCTACAGTCTGGTTGTTGGAGACAATGACATGTCAATAGTTATCTTCAGTCTGGTCAGAAGGGACAATGCCATGTCAATAGTATCTACAGTCTGGTCACAGCAGACAATCCCATGTCAATTATCTACAGTCTGGGAGACAATGCCATGTCAATAGTATCTACGGACTGTTCATCTGTGGGTATTGGATAGTGAGAAAAAATGCATGGCATGGACCTGCTCTTTTGCTCATTAGTGTGTGTGTACTTACTGTGTAGCCTGAAACAACTCTTATTCTTCCAATGTGTGGTAGAAAAGGAAAAAGGGTTGGACACCCCTGGAAATGACATGGGTTCAAACCAACCACCTTAACACAACTTTTTTTTTTTCCTTTTTTGCAGTTTTTTTTGGCCAGGGCCAGGTTTGAACCCATCACCTCTGGCATATGGGGCCAGCGCCCTACTTCTTGAGCCACAGGTGCCACTCCACCTTAACACAACTTTAAATAACAATCAACTTTGAATGCTTCAAGACTAAGAATATTGCCAATTTTACAGAATAAAAAGCAAAAATCAAATCAGCCTGGGCAACATGGTGAGATTTCATCTCTAGAAAAAATAGGAACACAATTCTTAGTTCCTCAGGAAGCTAGGGAAGATGGATTGCTTGAGCCCAGGACTTCGAGGCTGCAGTGAGTTGTGATGTTACCATTACACTCCAGCCTGGGGGAGAGAGAAAGGCCCAGTCTTGAGAAAATAAAAAATAAAAATAAAAGGCCAGGTGCGGTAGGTGGCTCACGCCTGTAATCCCAGCACTGTGGGAGGCTGAGGACAGATAATTGCTTTAGCTTAGGAGTTCAAGACTTGCCTGAGCAAGAGTGAG